GGTATACACACATACAACTGATTGTATGTGCGTGTGCATCTGTTCTGTGTGTGTGTGTGTGTGTGTGTGTGTGTGTGTGTGTGTGTGTGTGTGTGAGTGTGTGTGTGTGTGTGTGAGAGAGTGAGAGAGAGAGAGAGAGAGAGAGAGAGAGAGAGAGAGAGAGAAAGAGAGAGAGAGAGAGAGAGAGAGAGAGACACAGAGAGAGAGAGAGAGTTCTAAACCAGCTTTGCTGGACCAAGTATACACACTGAAATTATGAACGGAAATCACTGAAGGAGGATGTTTTTGATTACACGAGAAAAGCTGAAGAAGGGAGGAATTGACCAAATCACTGAGAGGGCACGCAGGTGTGCTAACACTACTTAGCGCCGGGCGAGAGCGTTCCCTGCTGACATCCAGGACGTTTGCCCCGGAAAAGAATGGGCCAGGAATAGGAAGCCAACTCAATCACTCTTGCAAGGAGGACAACCATCCCATTTCGAAATCCAGGCAGGTTGGCGGGTGAGAGCTCGGGAAACGCGGGGGGCTGGGGAGGGTGGGAGGGGGAGCTCCCATTCCCAGTGTCGCACAAACAAGCCCCCCCAACATTGCGGGATGGTGGCACAGAGGTGGGCGTTCAACCCCGCAGGCACGCCACCCGGGCCCACCTACCGTCTTCTCCCAAACACAACCCACCGTCATCCTGACCGTATCCAGCCAGCGCGGTGGGTTGTATACATTTATAACCAGGGTAACTTCGATGGCGTTCGCGAAACGTCGGTGTCCCAACCCGGGTCGATCCATTCACTAATCATTCACCAAGTGCATCAACCCGGGTTGGGACACCGACGTTTCGCGAAGTGTCCGCCTGATGTCCCGAGTTCATCACGAGGACACTTCACCTGACATGGCAAGGAAGGGTCTTCGCAAAAGCTTAGTACTAGAGACAACTGCATCAACAGGGAGGGACCAACCCTCAATTTCCTCTTGGTGATTCATTTGGTGGTCCGGCAAACGCCGTTGTCCCTGCATGCGTACCAGCTAGGATGGTCCCACGGTCCCACCCGATACCACCAAGGGTGGTTCCACTTGATACCAGCTGGAACCGACGAGGGGCACTCAAGCAGTGTCCTCCTGACAACACTCGCACGAGCTGAGTCCCATACCCATACCTAGACTGTGCAGTGTGTACCAAACCCTGGTCCCAAGCAGGCCAACTGGGTTCGGCAGAGGGACCCTCTTGGGACTGTACCAACCATCTCCGCCTCCCACAACCGAGCGCCATTCTTCTTTGGTTTTTCTTTTTAGCAATCCATAGCATTGGCATTCTAGACCCACTGCAAAAAAATGGCCACTTGGTGCCGACCGGAACGCCCCCGGAGCTCTTCGAAGAGTGTACCACCCACCGCCTGGTATTCCCTTGAGCCCCAATTGGGCCCAGAAGCGCAGGCTGAGATGCTGCACCGCAACTACTGCGCTCACTTGTGTACCGGACCATATCTGCATTCCTGCTCGCATGATGAAGACTGCCCCTTGCCCCACGTTACTTGCACAAGAGAGCGCTGTCTTTCTGACCGAAACAGTACCGTCCCGGTTCGTCCGTATAAGGAGCTGTCATCCTTGTGCGGTGCATTTCTCACAGCTCACTTGCATGATAGCCCTCCTTGTGTCTATAAATAACTCGGATGGTTGTCCTCGTGTCCACTAGAATCCCAGATTGCTCGGCTGCGGTAAAATTGCGACTACAGACGGGATTCCACCCTTTGTTTCACCGAATCATCTCTCTTCAGAAATAACATGTCACCATGTTCCTTCATAACACACACACACACACACACANAAAAAAAAAAAAAAAAGCACAAAACGGCATCGTAGCATCGGAGCACAACAAATGCGAAACCAGAAATACAAGTATTACTATTTATAGGCGATGTGAGCATCGACAGACCCTACTTTAGAACGCCGACCACTACCGTCTGACGTTTCGGCATGCATGTCCAGATCCTCCAATTTTACAAGACATCAACAGTTTCAACCGCATGCCCCGACCGATGGAACAAACCTCTTTGCTAACAACCGCGTTAGCCTCACATGAGAGTTGGGAACAAAAATGATGAAAAATATGTGTGTCGATCTACAAGTGAAAGATGTTCATGAAGCAGGCAGCAATCCTCAGGCCATCTTCTATGTGCATCGTTTTCTGTCGGTGACTGTGTGTGTGTGTGTGTGTGTGTGTGTGTGTGTGTGTGTGTGTGTGTGTGTGTGTGTGTGTGTGTGTGTGTGTGATGTCTGCTGGGCAGTGTGCACGACTCCACAAGCAAAGCATGACTGTGCCACACTGTTTCGTCGGACTCCCACCAACTCTTCAGGAGGTTGAACCGACTGTGCACAACAGCCGGCACAGAATCCATTGGACTGGCGGAAAGGACACACACACTACATCACCGTGAGCTACCATCTTCACCCAAATAGAACGCCCGGTCACGATTGCTGCATCTGGACTGAAAGTTGGGCCCAAATGCAGCTATAATCACCTGGCATTCTATTGGGGTGGACACAGTAGCGATACCCCGCGGAGAATTAGTCAGCGTCACCGACACCAACCCTGCAACCCTAGCAGACTGTGTGTGCGTGTTTAATTTCCCCCACAACAACCCCAATTCCACCCAGATCAGTAGATTCAGCATCGAAGCAGCTTTTGTCCTCTTGCCGACCATGAGAGCACTTACATAAGTTACATTTAAGCAATTTGAAAGGCATTCCACGATGCAGACCCCCAATTCGAATCTCAGGGTCACGTTGCCAAGCTAAAGCAAGCCGAGTCGACCGGTTTCAGAAAGGCTGAGCCGGGTGCCCCAGAGGTCCAGTCCAACAGGCACCCGGTCCCCCGTCACATCCCCGAGGCAGTGGTTGCATTCCAAACGCAGAAGTCGCGTCTTGCGATGAAAAGTCACATCCCACAAGGCAAAGGACACTTCCCCAGGCAAAAGTTGTGTCCCACAGGCAAGGGTCACATCTCAAAGTCAAAAGGCATAATCTACAGGCAAAGGTCACGTCTCCTGGGTAGAGAATCGCATTCCACAGATGAAAAGTCGCCACTCACAGGCCCAAGCAGCCGAGCACAACAAGGGAAATTCAGGTAAGTACCAGGCCTCTGACATTCTGAAGCTGCGGTGGGTATGTGTACCCCAGGCCCAAGTCAAGCCAAACGAAACAGTCTCAGTCCAAGACAATATAAGGACTGGCCAGCCACATTTCGGGGAGATGGCTCATTCGCAACAAGTGTGGAAGTGCTGCTGGCGCTTGTGCGCTGTCTGCGGGTAGCGTTGGAGCCCACAAGGGGCAGTGCTGTGCTGTGAGAGGGAAGGCGGCCATAGCCGCACAGCTAGTAGTAGGGGATCGCGCTGAGTAGCAGCGTGTGGATGTATTCAGAGTCTAGATCTTCAAGTAGAGAGAGTGAGAGGGGGAGGTTGAGCGCATGCATGAGGAGGACAGAGAGAGAGAGAGAGAGAAGAGGGACAGAGAGGAGAGAGAATCACCTACCTGGACGAGGATGATGCTGGATATGGGTTGATGAACTCTGCCCTGTTGACCGCGTGGTAACTGGAATCCTTTTTTTTTTTTTTTTTTTTTAAGCTGCGCTACTCTGGACTTTGTGTCGCTGGTCTCCAGTGTGGATTTCCTGTGATCTCTCAATGTGTGTGTGTATGTGTGTGTGTGTGTGTGTGTGTGTGTGTGTGTGTGTGTGTGCGCGCGCGCTCTCAAGGTGACGAGCAGTGAGGCTCAATACAAACTTTACAATGAGACAGGTTTTGGGTTTTCCTTGGGGTACCCCTTCCATTTGTTTTTGCAGCACCCCTGTTGCTATACCTTGCACGTACAAGCCTGCCCACATCGACTGTGGTTGAGCGGCAGCTGCTCACATGCCCGTGTGCCTTAACGGCCCACTTGCACGTTACGAAAGGATGCAGAGTGAACGGGAAGGTGCACTCCTGTTCATTTCACTTCTGATCTTCAGCATATACTTTATCTGTTCGCTTTAACGATGCTCATTTGTCCGTTATTTGGTAGTGGCACATAAGGGGAGGGTAAAGGGAAAGGGGTAGGAAGCGGAGTTTTATAGGGAGTGAGGAGCTGGCGAGGGAGAAAGGGTAGGAGAGGAAGTGCACAGGGTTCTAAATACTCATCGCCGGAGCAGACTACACTAGAATGGCACATGAGGCCAGTCGGTGTTTAGGTTGCCTAGCATTTTGAGTAGAGGGGCTGTTGTTGCTTACGGTGAATGGCCACCCCTACAGACCGGACAGGACCGGTTCGGGTGCGGACTGTGGAAGCACCACATCCAATTCTCGACGCAGTCGCAGTTGCTGCATTGAATGGCACTGCGAACCCCACAGACCCGACAGGACCGGTTCGGGTGTGGATTGTGGAAGCACCACAACCAATTCTCGTCGCAGTCGCAGTCACAGTTGCGGCATTGAATGGCACTGCGTAAACAGATATCACAGGCTACGTGGCTCCTACATGCTTGGAACATAGAGGCATGCCGACCGCAATTGCAAAGACATTGTCATTCCAGCCCTTGTCGACAAACCGGACACGACATGTCAGGGTGTCGTACATGAGTGCAGTTCTGATCCTCACGGCACAAGGCATGTGAACCACATGCTAGCCAGATCTCAGGCGGATAATCACGCAGAGGCATTGAGCAGGTTTCACGGGTTTCCGTAGCACTTATTCCCTCTCTCTATGCGCAGACAACGACGGGCATTGATCCAAGGCCAGGGTGCTTAGCTGCTGCAGGACTTGGTCTGCAAGACTGCAACAGCTCGTCCCGGTGGTGATATCCTTTCAGTACAGCACTCTGTATGCGGTTCATATGGTAGTAGATTACCTTCCTCAGGCTGCTGTGTCTGTTGTTTCTCTGGCAAGTGCCCAACGGTGCATGCGCGACATGCTAGGAGAGGATGTAACCGAATTTCTTTACCAAATTAATTTGTTTATTTTTTTGTCCGGCCGGGCAAGTGGTCCCGGGCCACTCTGGTAGAGCCTAGATGAAAACACACACGTTTGGGATGAAACTGGTCCCCTTTCGCCTTGTTGGGGTTAAAAGGCCCTTTTCTAGCGGAGGATTCAGTCTCATTCATCCAGCAAAATAGAAAAATACAGTCCATCGCCAGCATGAGTAGAGTGCACGAAAGGCCCGTGTAATATGTCAGATCAGCCTGAATGTATCTGTAACGTGGCACAGCCCAGATACGATTAGAATGTTGTGTAGTGGAGCACACCCTAACATTGCAACAAAGCAGCAAAAATAATCACCAAATAACTTCTTCTTTTTTTTCTTTTTCTTTTTTTTCTTTTTTTTTTCTTTTTTTTCTTTCCTGACAGGACCTAACATTGTTACAAAACAGCACAAATTGAATCAACAGATATCTCTAATCCAGGTGCTAGACCTCCCCTCACCGTCACACGTTTGCCTTGGGGTATTAGGTCTCCCTTTGATCCATTTTCTTTTTTTTTTCCTGTTGGTTTATTTGGTGTGCACTCACTCTACGGACTGGTTATAAAAGGTGTGGGGCGTTTGTTATAATGACCCTGAAAAACCCTCCTGAAAATTTAGGGCTCGGTTAACCGCTTCTCGTGTGGCTGTGCCCTGCGGATGCACCAAATCCAATCACTACAATGCCCTACAGTTGCAGTGTGTGGCGCGTCGCACCCGAATGTCACAGGGAACATGGTTTGTGTGAACCATCTCATGACATGGGTTGCGGATCACATGCTCGCTACACATAACATAAGTCATAGCATTTCCACAGACAGGCGATGGCGGGGTACTAATCACAACCTTCTGATCTGGGATGTTCAGCTGCTGCATCAACAGGATTCGTACCTGTGACCTTCAAATTTGAAGGTTGCTGCTCTGTCCAGCTATGAGCTAGGATGTTCAGCTGTTGCAACATCTGATTGATGTGCCACTTCTTGCCCCCAAGTTGATGACTGTAGATGGTTCACTACAGAATGAGAAAGATCACAGGTTCAAATCCTGTTCATTTCCGTAGGATGCACTGTAGATGATTCATGTGGCAACACAGGCTGTTGTTGTAGCAATTCATTGTCCGCCAAGGAGGAGGAGGAGGAGGAGGAGGAGGAGGAGGGAGTGTTCCATCGTAGACGCAACCAGCCACAGTCCAGTAATACGTACGGGGTGGGAAATGAGCGAAGACGGCATCGGCGACGGTGACATCGGGGATCGTCCAGAACGCAAAGACACATCCTGTCTATGACATCTTCGTGGAAACAGGGTCAACAACTAACACATTACTGGTATCAAAAAAAAAAGAAAAAAAAAGAAAAAAAAGAAAAAAGAAAAAGAAGCATGGCAACAGGCCTAGCTCAGTTGGTACAGTCGTGAACTGTTGAAACACAGATCCAAGTACGAATCCAGACTGCAACGAACCTCAAAGTTCATCACACCAAGGAGTGCTCACATCAGCATGCATGTCACACAGATCGCATTGTTCTTTTTTTTTTTTTTTTTTTTCCACACAGATTGCATTGTCACATATTGATTGCACAGGTAGATGATGAGTAATAGACCGGGAAGCGAAGCAGAAATTTCACAACCAGATTATAGCGAGAGAGTCAAGAGTTCAATTATCCAGCGCTCAACAAGATTACAAGTCTTCTTTGAACAGCAAGAGTTTGGAACCCAGCGCACATCAGCACTTGCACTCAGTATCAATTTCAGCATCAGACAAGGTAAGTCTCCACCATAGCTTTCTCTACCTCCTGTCTCTCACTTGTCTTA